ACACATTAAAAATAGTAACAGAGCATATAAAAATAACATAAAAAATATAGTTATGATACATATTATAATCCGGTCTCTGTAGTCGGGGAACAAACGACTTCTGGACCAAAAACCTTCACGAAGTCCGCTTCACAGCGGATTCGGTGAGCAGGGGTTCCGGCGTCCCTCCTTGAGTAAATCCTGCCGCCTTTGGTCCAGATGTACCTCCACTGTTGCCGACCGGCTGCTTGTCTCGCGCGGTAGAATAAACGCCGGTTTATCGGAGTGAGCCGCTCATTGATGTAGAAGCGCCTGGGATCGGACTTCAATGCCAGACCCTCTGTGGTGATGTGACGCCACACGCGCGCCGCGCGCAGTATAGCGTCCCGCGTGTCGCGGCGCGCCAGCCGCACGGCCAGCGGTCGCGGCCGCGCGCATACAGCTTACCAACTCACGTTCGTCCAGCTGCATGCCAAGTTTGGCGGCGCAGGCTAGCGCGACGTGGATCGGATTTTCCCCATTCTCTTCTGCAACACCGCTAACTTCGACCTCGTTTAGCAGCAGCTCCTGGTCGCGATCGTTTATGTCGTGCTGAAGTCTCTCAAAATTAGTTTCGAGCGCCAGGATTACCTTCGCGATTCCGGGGTCAGTTCCGGTCCCACTCAATCGTGCGTCCAATAGTGTTTGAACCGTCTCCTCCACCTTATCCAGACGGTTCTCGCAGGAGCGCACTGTCGATCTTAGCTCGAATAGATCTTGGCGTAATCCTTTTAGCTCCTCCCTAGTCCGGCACATTTCCAGGCGGAAAGTGCGGAGCTCGTATGCGAGACTTGTCTCCTGCGAAATTTCCTCGGTGTCAGATAGCCGTAGCGACTCAGGATCCGCGCCTTTCGAAGCGTCTTGGATCTTGACAGGAGTGTTGTCGTGGTTACTCCTAGGCAACCTGGCCTTACAATCCGGGCAGGCCCACGATGACGGTACGGTGCTATTTTTTTGAACTCCTATGCAATCCCTGTGGTAGGATTTTTTACATATTGGGCAAGCAACACTTGCGCCCTCTAGCGTTGGAATAAATTTGTAACACGCACTGCACTTAACCACCATATCGAATGCAAATATTTTTATAAACGTTAGACAGCGGACTCGCTAATGAGTACGGTTATGATCCGCGAGGAATCACTGCACTTAATTGAGTTAGGACAAATACTTTTTGGTTTTTTTTTGGCGTTGTTTAATTTTTTTGTTGTCTTTCAGGTACCTTATACGTTTAATAAATAATGGTGATGATATATTATATACTATTGACATGAAAGTGGTTTTAATTCCGTAATTCGCTATACTTTCTACGCACCCGTAATACTACACAGACACCGACACTGTGACGGTTCTTTCTATGTGGTTATTATGTGAGATAGGATCTGTTTATTATTTTTAATCAGAGAAAAAACGAGCGAGACACAAAACTGCAAGTAGCAACACAGACGTCTGTGACGTCACCTGATATATATACCAATTTTATGTCTGTCTATTATCTATTAAAAATCAGAAATTAAAAATTAATTATCTCTCTTTCTAATCGTGCTCCTCGTGGTCGCGGCAGAGGGTCGTGATTATTAATTTGTTAAAAATACAAAACCATGTTATAAAAAAACCATTTCATTCAGACAAAGACCATACAAAGTGTTAGAACAAAATTATAACTTAACCAACAAATGCAAAACAATACACAAAGTTGTAGCACTCCATACTGGGGACTGCACAAAGGCAAACACAAGACGATAATCAAAATAATAACAAAAATTTGATAAAAAAAAAACTAACTTCAATAAGAAACATAAATATCAATGAGATGGTTGAGGCTGGTGGAGTTTCAACAATTTGTTAATGCCGGTTTTTTTTTAACGTCAGTCGCAAATCACGACGCTCTGTGATATGCAGTCAATTGCTATTCTTAGACAGTAAATTACCTACGCACTGGACCCACCTAAATATGATGAAGGCAACGCTATTCAAAATTTCTGTACTATTTCCCACAATCCAGAGTGGAGAGCAGATATTGATGTTAAGAGCCAGAACTCTTGGTATCCATTTCTGAATTTTACTTTAAATTCTACTACTACTAGTGAGCTCTACAAGTTCTAAATTTGATGATTCTGCTGTATCTGCATTTGTGAATGGGTCTAAAATCCAACGTGATATATTCATATTTAAAATATCCTGGAATCTATCTATAAAATCAGCATGAAGAGCGTCCACGTGTTGGCAGTAGGTAAGTAAATGTCCCTGTTTTACCGATAATGCCGATAACATCGGAATGTGGCTGTATTCACCTCGTCCTAGATTTCGTTTGAACAGAAGAAGTTTTCCCACAAAAGCAGCTATGACTTTTTTGTTTTTGTTAAATTCAACTCATCATCTTGCAATTCACGTTAACGTCATTAAATATTTTAAAAAGGTCTCTCAAATAAGCAATGTAATTTTTGGACGCAATCAAGTTACCGCGCAGTTCATCGTTTCAGTTTTCAAGGATGTCCCGTACTGAGCCAAATAGATTGAAAATGCGATTCAGACAAACACCTTTCGAGAGCCATCGTACTTGTGTGCAGCAGCAAGCGATTACAGTCTTCATCATTAACCGACTTCAAAAAAAGGAGGAGGTTCTCAATTCGACTGTATGCTTTTTTTGTATGTATGTTACGCGATAACTCCGGTATTTGAGACCCGATTTTGATGATTCTTCTTTTGTTGGAAAGTACCTCCATAGGGGCCCCATTTAATTTTGAAGAAAATCATCCACTTCTAAGGATGGCTGTTCACCATGAAGATTCATTTTTATAAATATCGCCTAAATTTTATTATAAGGAGCAATTATTTTAATGGTTGATTTTGCTATTCTCCTATTCAAGGCGTTTTTCTCTCAATATGCCTTGAGTAGTGAGAATCAATTTTTATTATCCCCTGTGTGTGTAAGTTCCGTGTAGTGGCGAACTAGGGGATGAATTCGGGTTTGCGCACACCGGTAACTGATTTCAATAAAGCTCGATAATTATACGTAATTCCACGCATTTTTTAGGTCGGTTTTTTATTACCCTTATGACTGATAGCATAGATAGGTAACAATAATAAAATGATAAAATATTTCGAATAATAATTTCTTCCTTTTTAAAAAAAACGCATGGTGTTAAATATGGATTCTCCCTTTGTATCGGTTTTCAAATTTTTTGCTCTTGACAATTTTTTTCTTTTTTTTTATGAATCGGACGGCCAAGAGTATTGCCATCAAGTTGAATGGAAAATTTGGAAGTTTGTCATTGACTTTATAATGATAGTTCGACGTCTTCAGCATACACCACATAATTATACTAGTTTTAGTTTTAGTTAGTGTGTGTCCATGGGACCCGCGACACAGGGTTTCCCTAGTGCGGGGCTATGTTGAGTGTGTGCGTTATTATTATTAGTTTCTTCCTTGGTCTTCACCCATTTCATCTATTCTTCTTTGCACTATATTATTACTCAAAGGAATTGCGTTTATGGTATCTGATGGCGTCTTATGATGAAAAACAGTTTCGATTACCTCTTTGACTGCCGGCATGACCAATTCCTCACCAATAGTGTATGGTTTTCCCGCTTTTGTGATTAATAATGAAATATTATATGAAGCTCCTAGTATGCTCCTAGTCCATAATCTTCTTGTTTAGAACACGGTGCAAAAAGGTTTGATATAATTGGCTGTTTTAAATATTTCGTCTCAAGTCTTTAAAAATAGGATAAATCTTTGTCCTTTTTATCAAAATGTATTTTATTTAAATGCTCTTAGCACCTAGAAGGTTCATATTACATTTATATTCGTTTATTCCCAGTAATATTAACACAAACATTATATTATGCACTTTATTATATATTATTATTATATTACAAATTGCATTTGGAATCTCTAAATAAAACCATTTAGCATTTTGGTTCAGCGAATTTACAATGTATTACGATTAGTTTTCTCGCTTGTACTGCAACAGAACGGAAGATTTCAGCTGTCTGCAACAACAAATCCGTCCCCAAGTTTCATATTTTCATGTAATTTCACAAGAATCGCAAGTAAACAACCCTGACAATGGTACCCGCTACCTATTTCTATCCTCTAAGCTCCCTATCCACAAACAAAAATCCTTAGAGGATGGAAAAAAATTGATACTTATTGTACGAAAAGATTTATTTCATTTATAGAAGAGCACCCAACAGAAACAAGGCCGCCGATACCAATCCGTCGCGTCGCCGTCGGGCGACGTCGCCGGGTCGGCGGGCTCGGAGTGTAGACAGCTCTAATTAGTATTGTTGTTGTTGTCGATCTCTATAACAAAATAGTAATAGAAAGAGACGAAAAAATCGTTGTTGTTTTTCTGGTGTGGTGCTTGGCTAGCAACTGCAAAATCAAAAGCAAAAATCTACGATATTACTAAAATTATATTTTCCCGTTTCGCTTCTCAATGACAAACGCTGATAGCCACGAAGTATGGGTAAAAAATGCTAACATAGCCTACATTTTGTATATATTTCTAAGAAAAAAATCATTCAAACTGCCGTGTTCTTGTTTAAAATTTTAGCCTTAAAATTTGAGCCTTGTGATAATAAAGCCTTTTCTTACGGGTGTAGTGTTATGTCTCAAATTTATTTTATTTGTATTTATTTTTTTATTTCAAAATTCGTCGCCAAGTGAATTATAACTTACCTCTTAGACGATGGAAAAAATTGCTTACCTAGACTATTCCATCCTTTAAGTAGCTTACCGTGGTCAAAAAGATAATAAAATATGCTCTATGCCTGCGAAAGACTTTCTGACTAAAACCTTAGTCTTACTAAAACTTAAAGGATGGAAAATACAAAGATTAAAAATCTTTTATGATTATGGTCTATGGAAATTATGAAGTTTTTGGCTCAGGAGAAGATCATGAGACATTGGAAGCAAAGATGATTTAATACAGATTGGGAAGACGTTGGAACCTGCTGTTCAAAATGCTCGTGTTGAAATGGTTGGATATTATAAAAATGAGTCACTTACACCACAAGCAAAATTCGCTGCTGGAATAATATCTGGGTTCGCCACAAGGTATGTCTGGCATCAGACGTCTACATGACTGCAACGATCTATTGCTAGGCGTAGTACTTTATTTCCCGCTTATAAATTTTGATTTTCTAATTATGTTCTGATCAAATTGATTTATTAAGGATCGTGGCTCAGCCTCTCGACGTGATTAAATTGCGAATGCAACTCATAAAGCTAAAGAAAAATAGAAATATAATTTCAACAGCATTGAAGATTCTTAGAGAGGAAGGTCCAACTGCTTTCTTCCAAGGACATATTGTTGGGCAGGTATTTATTTTTGGCATTGTGGCAGATAGTGCCAATTGACATAATTAATTTTAATAGATTTTTACTATTGTTGCTTGAGTCAATATTTATCTTCAAAGAAAAGAAATTTTGTATTCTTATTTCATGTTAAGTATATTCTGCAAAAACAATATCAGATTTTTAGCATATTCCACAAATAGGTATTTAAAGGACGGCAGCATCAGTATTTTCTACCTTTGTTTGATTTTTATCTTTAACGTTTTTTCTTTGTAGTTGCACTCCGTTATATGTGTAAGCAGCCAGTTCTATTTTTACGAACTTAGTACAGCAGTCGTTTTAACCAGGATCGATGAAACACATGCGTAAGTTTGTAGCTGGGCAGTTTATCTGAACTTTAAAAAGTGTAATTTTAATAATAATAATACATTTTATAACAATTTTACAAACAAAAAACTGTTTGTCAGTTTTGCCATAGACCCAGTGTCGAAATGAATAGGTTGTTCTACTATACCACTAGTGCTATAAGCGTTCCCACTTTAGCGTAAAATATACATAAATGAAAACTCACTAAGCATGCAGTGAGAAGCTTATGAAAGCTTGTATGAAAAGATAGCAGAATATAAATGAAGCAAGACAGGTTTGTATGTTGTTTGTTGTCGGTTTGTTTGTTTGTCGTGCTAAGTGGCGTATGTATACAAATAAATAAAGTTACAAGGAATTGTAGGACGTCTTTCATTGTGCTGAGTCGTGCGGTGCATGTTATATAAATTGTTCTAAATGAAGAAATGTCAAGCGAAGCTTCATATGCAAACTAAGAAGGATTTTTATAAAGCAAATAGAGAGTTTTTCAGACAAAGATAATAAGGGAAGACCACCTATACTTTGCAACTTGAACAAACAAGCTGAAGGTGTAATCATTTCACTACCTACCAAATTATACTCGTCACGAAATTATTTACTAACAGACTGTACAATTTACTAATAGACTGTGTTTCAGTCGAACGGCTAGATTCTTATGCGGAATTTTCGCCGGTTGCTGCAGTTCTACTCTGGGCAACCCGTTAGAAGTGATCCGCGTCCGGCAAATGATTATTAAGGACCAGTACGGAGGCCTAATCAATGCTGCCAAAGCGGTGTACCGGTACGGAGGAATAACAGCCTTCTACGAGGGCGTAATAGCTAATTGCCTACAGGTGAATGTTGTTTGCAGTCCCGTGATTTAGGCATACTATTCTCTTTAGCCGGAGAAAAGGGAGGATGTATTTCTCTTCTTGGTCTCGATTAACGGTAAAAAAAGCAGTATAGCTCGTCGTCGTGTGAAAGAGTTCGTCCAGGGAAGTACTGCCAAAAAACAGTAATGTGAGCATTACTGCATTCCGGTTTTGAAATGTAAGGGCGCTGGTGAAATTACAGCCACGTGAGACTTGCCAACTTGTATTTGCAGTAATGGCAGTGCCACTCAGATCTTTGTGATTTAAAAGCTCTGAGTGGCACTGCAACTGTCATAACTTGTTTGTCCCGTCACTTGCTATCATAAAAAAAACTGTCTTGGAATCGTCCATAACAAAAACTCGAGTCTTAAAGCGGCCTTAGAGTGAAAACCTTTGTTCCGCATTTTTACGATTTTTTTGGGACAAAACTTACAAACCGCTTGCTTAAAGTAATATGGAAACTGAAACAGGTAAGTTAAGTAATTAAAATGCTAACTATAAGCATTATTATGTTTACTATAAAGGGCTTGTATATTTTACACCACATTTATATCTTCGTCCTCAAAATTAAATAGGAATCACATATGAGGTATTCACTCTAAGATTACGAATATGTACTCAATACTTTGAATTTTTTTTGTTTACGCACCACGTTTTTATGTATTGGTCTTGGTAATGGTGGTGGACACAGTGGCCGCGATGAAAGTACTTTTACCAAAAATGTTTTTCAGATGGGTCCTCAAATGGGTATTACGTTTGCGGTGTTCAGTTATTTACAACCGTTGCTGTTGAATTATTTGGCAGACTGTTATAGTGATTCCTGTAACTCCACTACGAGCAACCGCCACTCTGCTCAACACCTTCTCGTAGCTAGTTCCATAGCGGGCTGTGCCTCTGGTTTAATCGGCAAAACCTTGACATATCCTCTTGATTTGGCTAAACGAAGACTTCAAGTAGGGGCAAGTATTATTCAAGGAGATATTAACAGATTTTTTATGTTTTTAACTAACATCCTTTACCACTTAGGTCACACTTAATAAGAATATTATTATAATTGGGTAATATAAGTATTTTAGACTTATATTAAAGATTACTTCTTTATAAACTTTTCATTCATTTTTGTAGGAAAACATCCTACAATCTCCCAACAACAAACACAAAGTTTTCAATCAATATGTCGCACTGTTAACGCAACAGTCTGAAAAAGTGTATTTTTCCCGTGAAAGATCATTAAAGTTATGCATAGGTTAAAATTTCTTACAGACATCTAAACAATCTCCTAATTTTCAAATATATTTAAAAATAAAAGGGAAAACTAATTTCATACTTTTAAGTAAAGACTGTTTAGGCTAGAAGTAGTTCACATAAAGTTTGTTTCATTTTGAGTTAAGTCGATGTCTTTTAATTGTTGTTTACAGTATTCTAACGACTGTTTTATTATACTATATAATCTTGAATTTGACATAAGTAGGTACTTTGAGTTACAACTCTATTGTAATAACAGTGCAACGTGTCCGCATGTTACTTATCGTATACATTTTTTTCAGAGTCACAAGATGGATAGAAAATACAATGTGCCCAGTACGTCGAGGCACTTGATACGATGCAAAAGTCTAACAAAATGTCTCAAAGTAACTTTTGAAAAAGAGGGCTTGTATGGGTTGTACAGAGGATGGTTCGTTACGGTTACAAAAGCTCAGTTAACCAACATTATGGCGTTCACCACTTATGAACTTGCGTGTTTCGCGTTGCGAGAAGTCACTTAGTTACAGCCTCCGTAGTGATGATAGTTTTTGCTGATTGTACCCGAAAAATAAATCGTTCGTAAGACTTTATTTGGACTTGCTTTCGGTGAATATTGTTTTTTCGTTTTTACATTTAAGTACTAGTGGAAAGATCTGTCTTCGGACATCGAACGGCTATATATAACATGTAAGACGAAAATGGACTGTGTAGAATTATGGACAGGAACGGAAGCGCTAGAAGCACCGACACATACAGATATACGGCCTATAGAGTACCTATCACTTCATTTGGAATGTAGTGCCATTGAACTGTCGCATTGACAGTGATTTAAATTTTTAACTTATGTAGGTACTGAACAACCAAAAAATAAGTGTACTAAATCATTCCAATAATTTAGTGTTTTACACTTGTTGTTTTACACTTGAACTTAAATATTTAGTCTAAATAAAAACTATTCACGCATAGGTCACTGTTTCACGCAAAAAAATGTCTTCAATTGATTGAATGATTAATTTTTTTAGTCTCTGGAGACTGGTATCTTTGTAAAATCAAAATAATCAAGTGAGAAAAATATAGAATAATCTTACGAAACCATTTTTATGAATACCATGAAATTTTGACTGAGTAATATAGTGGTAAAAATTCTGTGAAACCGATATCATTTATATATATGTATATATATAATTTCAATATTTTAAGAGCTCAAATTCCCTCAAGATGTCTATAAGAAGGTTTCTAGATAATTTAAAGTAAAAGTGGGCACAACTTCATTAGCAGATCACAAGAGAGCTTTGAGAAACTATCTGTAGGTAGTCTTAACAGTCATTCTTATCTTTTTTCTCAAGTAACCCTTCTAGAATGCTACAAGACCATTTGTAGAATGTAGACAGTTTTTATTTAGTCTTGTAGACAGTTTTTAGATAATTTATAGTCTATGGTAGTTTTCTTAGTAATACTATTTTAAAACCAAAATATTATAGCGTTACTAACATAAGACGCAATTCTCTTAATACTGATAGATTTCAAGTTTAATGGCTTACAAAATATAAATTATCAAAATTGCAACATGGCGAAATTAGATATAATATTTCTGACTTTTTCGCGCAATGTTTAATCGGTTGGAAAGCGCGAATTGACGTGCGACTTTAAATACGTTGTGAAAAGTGATTTAAAACCTGTCATAAAAGTAATGCGCTCGCTAAATTTTAAATATTTATGTATAAAATATAAACTTAATAAAAATATAGTTATCGATTTTCGGTTTTAAATATTTATAGAAAGCTTAAACATACAAAATAACTCACAAAAGAAACCATTTCCAAGAAGTTCTACGCTTCTTCAAGCTAATTTCAACCTAGATTTACTTTTTAAAAAGAAAAGAAATTTTCTCGGCTGCTTCATAGTCATTCTTTAAAAATAAAAATGGCGATAAGAATTTAAAGCTTTTTTCAAAACACTGTTGGGAGAATTTATCTATAGCTTTATCTATAGAAAAACTTTGGAATACGAAAAGATTATTTATACTTGCTTAAGTGTAGTTGATCTTGCAGAAGAATATTCACTTCTATGAATCTTTTATGATTGTCTACAAAACGCGATGTTTCTAAGCGATTTTTTCCTTTGACAGTATTACAAAACCTTCATAAAAGTTATAGGGAATAGTGAGCATATTATTATGCGATAAAATACCTTTCAAAACACTAGGTCAAAAAAACAAAAAAAAAAACCAATTTGTCGCAAAAAATCGTTATTCTGTATGATTAGAAAGGTGGATAAATTCCCTATCATATAATTATAAGGAATATTTTAATGACATACCTAACTTATGTTAGAAGAAATAAAATTTTCATTACAAAATTGAGATTATTTCTTCACGCCAACCACATTTCACACAATGATTTCACTGTATTCTATTGATAGACGGCACGATACACATACACAACATTGAAGTACAATAGTTTACGCTCTCATTTCAATTGTTTTTATCATTTCAGAACACGGAATTACTTCACAATGTTTATTTATTTGTCAACAAACAAAATCCGGCTCGTGCGCGAATTATGACTACTGTATCCAGTGTTGCCAATTTGTGGGGAATTCCCCAAATTGTGGGAAATTTCAACTAGATTGGGGATATTGTGGGGATTGGGCTATGTGAGGAAAATGTGGGGATTCTAACATTTGTTATGTTAGAATCCCCACAATTGTATCATATTGTTATCAATGCTGATGCATCGCTAGTTTGATCGTTACTGTTAAAAACACTGCGATGGACTATATCGACGTGTTTTTCAACATCGCACATCCCTCGCATTTTTAACAAGCAGCTTAAATAGAATTATTATTAGAGCACTTGGTTCTGAATTGTAAAATTACTAGTCGGTGCGTGTTGAGTTCGCGATTCTTTCTCCTGCTTAGGCCGGTCCCCGGTATGAAGCAAAACGAAATCAGCTATTGATAAACAAACCCGAGCATTTGGTACTTCGACACCACAACTTACCACTCGTTAAAATCGTAAAGTCGAAACTCGTTGATTATTTCTAACATTAACATAGTGTCACCAAATGTACAACAAATAATCAATTTACTTAATTTTGTAAGGCAAAGAAAAATGATTTTTTTTTTCAAAGACTGATTACAGATTAATGTTGATAAACGATTTAAGGTCATCTAACTTTATAATTAGTTTTACATTTTACATTCACATCAAACGTAATAGATTATTACATTTTGAGTTTCTTAATTCTTTATTATATTTTTAAGCGATGTATTTCTAATAAATAATGAAAAGTCGAGATGTGAGGAATTTGTGGGTAATAGGAACTTTGCTCTCCCCAAATTTGGGGATTTTGAACCATTGACGTTGGCAACGCTGATTGTATCGAATGATGTGACTTAATATCCAAGGTTTACCGCCTCCACCAGATCTTTTAATCTTCTTTATTTTATCCATTTTGCATGAACTCTTACAACATCCAATGGAGTAAAAAACCTAATTTAAGTATTTTTTTAAATAAACTCTACTGAAGACGCGCTGTAACGTGTTTGTCATAAGTACAAATACTACAGAATGTCTATAAATTAAATATGTCTAGAATAAACTTAAGAACACTAGTTTTAGACTTTACTGGAGATGTGTAGAATAATTTTACTAAAAATAATCAGTTGTTCTACAGATGAACTTAAAATAAGGACTATTAGAGCAAATCTTAAGAGAGATTACATTTAATTAAGTTGTTTGGTATTAAGGTTTTAAAATTTTGACTTGAGTGAAATAAGTCTATAAGAACAATTTCTTTTTTCTAAAACCATTTATAGAGAACTATTATCTAAATCTATACCATATTAAGACTGTTTATAGATATAACAGTTTTAAGGCGTATAAAGTGTGCTCCTTGGGTTGAGTGTATATTTACATTATACTACTAGTGAGCTAAATAATTTTAAGATTTAAAGGATGATTCACATTAGACCGTGTCGGGCCCGAATCGTGCCCGAGTCATCCGAGCCTCAGACATGCTGCATACTCGTATTCACATAAGACCGTGCCGGGCGCGAGTCATGTCCGAGGATTCCTCTTTTTTTATGAGTCTCGTACGTGCCGCATGATCTTAAATTAGATAGAGTCAGAGAGTTCACATTACAACGAGCCGAGACAGGCCAGGCCACATCCGAGTCTCGGAAGAGCTCGTAAGCAGCTCGGGCATCTCTCTTCCGTGTCACGGACGCGGCACGTTGTAATGTGAATCACTGCATATAAAATGTACGCAGCATTTCCAATCAGAGCTTAGTACGTGCCTCGGCTCGCGTCCGGCACGGTCTAATATGAATAGTCCTTTATTCCATATTTTTATGCAAAGCACAATTACTTTATTTTGTTTTGGCATGTTACACATAAATTGGTTTATTTATTTATGTCAAAATTTAAAAAAAACTAATAAAAAAGAATATTATTTGATAATACACATCTTTATTCCTCTTTGGCTCTTAGTCTAAAATTTACAACAAACGGTAACTAGAACAATACTGATCACATTGCTATTGCGATGATCATACAGTGACCAGTCGATGCTCAGAAGATGAAGTGTGACTATCACCAGCTTATGATGTTCATCAATATGATGCGATGATGGGGATGATGTGATTGTACTTATTATTACCTGTGACAAAACACAATTTATTATAGTCTAAAAATATAATATTTTTGTAAATAAAGATTTTCAAAATACTTAGTGGAGATAGTAGAAAATATTGTTTTTCTTTTAAATAGTTGTCACTCACTTTAACATAAGAAAGTGATCATAATACGATCAGTTCCAGTCATGCGACAGCGAATCTCCGCTCCATCCTTGGCTCTCCCAGCCGTGGCTCGGTTTCTCCCAGCCATGGGATTGCTCCTTGATCGGCACGTACACCTTCTTCACGACGATCTCCTTCTTTATTACCGGCACTGGCACATGCTTTACAACAGGTACTGGCACGTGTTTCACCACTGGCACTTCTTTCACAACTTCAACTTCTTTAACTACTGGTACATGTACGGGAACATGAACTTTCTTCACGTGATGATGATGAATCGTGTGCACTTTATACGGGACGTGGATAGTCACATGTTTCCTGTAAATTAACAAATTGAATAATATTATTTTATGGAATAGATCAATGAGAATTTTTGTACATGTTATAAGCCTCACAAGAGTTGCACACAATTATATTACATCGAGACTAATGAAACATACAAGGCTTCCATTCAAGAACAATACAAATCTGTAAACAAAAAGTTCAACTAAACTACCCGTCGTCGTTTCGAGTGAACAGTTACTGATAATGTCGTCTAAGAATTAAGTCGTACGAGCAGGTTGTAAAAATGCCTTATTATTTTTTATATATATATTATTATATATATATATTATAGAATACAGCGGATTACACCACCTAAAGGCTGAAATGAAATATTAAATCCTTTAACGATTTGGTATTTGCTTTCCCTAAGTTCCCTATGATCTTTTCAAATTTCACTTTTTCAAAAATTTTCAATTTTTTTGCAATAGCAAAATTTCTCTCACATCAATGACAGTTTGGTAAAAGCATTAAATTATAAAAATAGATAGCTAAGTAGCAACTTTCACATGGTAAAGGAAATGACTGATTTTCCACGACACCATGTGACGCAATATAACGAATTACAAAATAGTACTTGTTACGTTTCACATGCGGAATATAGAAGTTCCAGTGGTGATTATTTTTTCCGTCTTTGTTACAATGTTTGTCACGTGAATTGTATCAATAACACCAGATCGAGCTTATCGAGACAAGCGAGTGGAAACCTAACCGAGCATTATATAAATGGTGTAGTTTACTTCACCAGGACGATGGAGTACTGGAGCAATATTAAAAATTGGTGATACCACAGGTTAAGCATTTTATTTATTATTGGAATATTTTTTCTGGGCCAGTCCGGGTCGAAATAGTACATTGTGTATTTAGAATTTTTTTTACCGTCCGTGATACATACAATGTTATTCATCACATACATACAACACAATATAAATATGGTTCACAAGGTTAACAACAACAAATAAGGGTTTGGCAAATGGCGGTTTTTTTTTAAATTCTTCCATAGATAATACAACTCTACCTAGAATATAAAAGCAAACACGCATACAGTCTTGATGAATCGTAACAAAAAAATTGCTAAATGGTTGTATTGAAAATAAAAAAATTTTTGATAAAGAGTATTTAGGTAGTAAGTGGCTGAATTGCAATTAAAAATTCTTAATAATAAATATTTAAGTAGTTAGTGGCTGAATTGCAATTAAACTTCTGTTTAGATAACATTTTATGCTAGTGGTTTAATTTTGAATATAAGTAACCTCCTTGCTTAAAATTGAACCTGATCTATGTAAAGAAGTATATCGTCGTACAAATTAAAAAAAAGCTTACCGACCATGGCTGTAATGGAAAGAAAAAAAGGCCGTGGATTTTATTTGAGGCATTATAGTCAAGTTAGCCACCATGCAATCATACCATTGTCGAGTAAGTACGATGAAAATGTGATTATTCGATTCTTCTTTCACTAAATAATATAATAAAATTTACGAGCGTTTCCAGAAAAATAATATTAATGTCAAGTAATCTACGTATTACAAGCACCATAAGACTTCTCTTTTATATCTACTATTGCTCATAAGTTCCTTATTCGTGCTAATACGTAACTGTGAACATTAGTTTAAGTTACCATTTTAAAATACGAGTTTAGCGTGCAGAAAAGACAATCGATAGGTAATGAAAATTATGTAACGATTAAGATAATTAAATTCCGGGATTTTACAGGTCGCTTGCAAGTTAGCAATTACTACCATGGTTACCACGAACGTATTACGAAATGTAACATAATAAATGTGTATGTAGCCCAATTACTATATTCTCGTGATTTCTTAAATGGCTTTTCGTAATATTGTGTTAGGTATACTGCAAATGTGGACATACTTGGAAATTACGCAGGAAGTGATATTGAACCTTTTTATCAAAGTGTCTTGATTTTTTTATAATGTTTACACAGAAACGAAGGAAAAGGTTTTCAGATATTTTTTTAAAAATTAAGGTTTCCTATATACTGGTAACCTATCACAAACACGAATTTTTTTCCAAAATAACGTTTGTTCGAATTTTCATTACACCGAAAACCGAATTATAACAAAACCGTTGTTGTTTAAGGATATGTTGGATGTTTATCGCAAAGACACGACTACCTTCGGTTAGGTTAGATTAAGTTAGGTTGAAAAGAAAAAAACATTTTCCTCTCAAAATCATTTTCTAGGTTATGAAAATTCGAGCAAACGTTATTACTGGAAAATATCATTTCGGACTACTGATAGGCAATCCTATCTACTATTTCTGTATAAAGTTTTAAAATTTACTTTTGTCAATGCCGAGAGAAAAAAGCTTTTCAGATACTTTTTTTATATTAACGTTTCCTATCTACTATTTCTATACAAAGTTTTAAAATTTACTTCTGTTGATGACGGGATATTTATTTTATATAAATTGCTTTTGTTAACCGTACTTACGGCGTCTGAGAAAACCTGTCGAAGGTTCATGAACAAGTCTCGTGAAATCCCCAACCCGGGTTCAACCAAGAGGAACAACAATAAGAATTTCAAAGAACTATTTCTGAATAGAAGAAAAAATTTAAATAGAGAATACTTTGTAAACATCGTTATGAACGCACGGGTGACTTGTAAGGCTGTTAGGAACAAACATCTTTTAACATTAACTATTACAAAAATATTGAGGCATGCTCTTGGTATAATAAAGCCCTGTAAGATCATACGTCAAAAGTGTTTGAATCACATAATTAATACGAATTACAACCAATTTCTACGAGTAAAAACTCTCCTATTTAAGAATAAAAAGTTAGCGACCCTCGTATCTTTAAACTTTTTTGGAATATCCAAATCATAGTGGTGGAACCCCACCCAGACATGATGGAAAGGGGTAGGCGGAATTAAATAGTGCAATCGTGTCATTTTGCAGGTATTTTGCCTTATTACACCAAAAGTGTGAAGTATTAATTTTGTTTTTGTTTTGTTCTTCGCAACAAGTGACAGTTCGAATGAACTTGAGCTCAGTACTTGGATGAACAATGTGTCGAGGATCGAGTTCGGCTATTTATTTCATAAGAGTCACCAATATTCAGTCGATATTCGATATAATATTTATCGACTGCAATCACTCTCTCAAGAGGGCAACACTTTTGCGCAACAGACTATAATGAAACGAATTCGTTGCTTGTTTTCGAGAAATGAATTTCAATTCATTTCTCGAAATTCCTTTTTGTCCCGCATGGTGCCCAAAAAGCTACAACCTTTTCGTACAATTTTTTTAGCTGATCTTCTAGACGTCAATGTTGATGTACATTGTATGTAGTAAACAGCGGTTGCTACAGTGATTGTTACTGAAACCAGTATAAATTAGCAAAAGTTATTGGGTGAAATGATCATGTAACAAAACAAAAGTATGTTTTTGTAACACGCTAGAAATTGTGTATTTCCGCTGAATACTTTTCCTAAATATGTTATAATTAATGTTCTGAATGCGCGATGTGCGCGAACTTATTTTATAATTACACCGTTTTCAATGAATTTGGACCAGTTAATTAAAACCGCACATTTTGCATTCCATTTGTAAATATGTTTTAATCTTGCAAAATTTGGTTGCAAATTTTAATCATTGGTAAACTGGGTGATGAATGACTTTTGAGGTCGGTTGTTTTTGGTGCTCTGTACTGATATATATACATAATATTCTTGTTAAATTTGTAATTACAAATTTATTTTACCTATCACTGTGCTTTGTCGAACTGGATGTTGCGTGAATAAGTAAACAAAAATCGAATTACCTGACGTTATGTATATATTTAGACTCGCTTACTGAAAATTAACTCAAGGTAGTATGTAAGTTCTCCTGAAATTTCTGCTCGTGAAATATGTTAATAATGTATTTACTATAAGGACCAGATAGCGTCTCCCCTTGCTACATTTGCCATCACTTTATATTTTAGATGATACGCTTTAGTATCTGATTTATTATTAGGATAATGCAAAATAAATCTTCAATAAACGTAGTTACTACCGATAATTGTACTATAGTAGTAAAATATGTAATAGTGGGAATATCCGGAACTAATCCAACATGCACAATGCAGTTCGCAGATTACCGTAATCAGGTGCAAGTAACTGCTCTCGGCGTGTTTCGCAAGCCGGCATTGATAAAGTCTGGACCTTTCACTGCGTAGGCACTGCCGCTCGGTTTACCATAGGGGGGAGACTTAATACATGATGACTAGAGTAATTGCGTATTATTGACTTTTTACCCTACATTCGAGTTTACCTCTGCATAGCACAGATTTGATCGATGCGCGGGGTTTGATTACTCTGGTATCTCGAGCGACTTCAAACATGTGCTACGGCAAACAGATCTTGTCTGCACACAATAATAATATACTGAGTTCTGGAACTCGGTATATTACTTCTTTAGCGAGAATCCATTTAAAAACTCTATGAAGATAAGTTTGTACATTGTGGTCTATTGGGTCGTGGTATCGAGTATGAAAATCTAACAAACAGGAAAATGTAAAGAACGTAAGGTAATGAAAAAGTTATAACTAAATAATGCAGTGATTCAGTATTACATGACAGCCCCACTTAGTCCACCGAATTTTTTTAAAATTTTTTATTATGCATAATTATTTATGTCAATTGAAATATAAACTGATGATAATGACGGAAGAGTCAAAATAAGGTAAAAGTTTATGCTGCAATTGAACTCTAATAGTGTATTTTATAAGAAAATCACCGCAAAATACATACACCGGCACATTTAGCAGAATAAAATCAAAGTGAGATTATAAAACAGTAATGTTTATATTTCAATAAATAAGGATTAGATATAAAGTAGCAATTAAATTAACATTTTTTAACATCTGCTTCACCTTACTGAATCTTTGTTAAAAAAATCTAAATTATACTTGCATTTATTTACATTTTGTGACAAAGCAGAAACAGGTGAAAAATTAAAAAATGTAACAATTAAACATCGATATCAAACTTTAACTAATAAAAAATCTTTTTAACTAAAGTTGACTAAATTCACAAGAACTAACTCAAAATAAACAGAACCAGTCGCAATGTATTTGTAGAAAATTAAAACAAACGAATGAAAAAAATTACAATCCACATTTTTTTAAATTTTCAAATTAGACTCGAAAGAAAAAAGTAAGATAATTGTTCAGACTTGACAATAATAATGAAACATTAACATTTAATGGTGCGTGAATTCCTAGTAGTTCAGTGGAGATGCCTACAGAGAAAAAAACAATCCTAGATACGTAACTATTTGAATGCAGAGTTCATACAGTTTCATAAAACGCAAATCTCAAAATAAACATAAGCTTTTTGCAACCAAACAGGAAACAAACTAATTAAAGTCGTTCTCTCATTATAAATGTAGCAGCCATACCATTGAAAGCGAAATTCTAAAGTCGCAGCCTTATTAATACATAAATGATTTTTCTGGTACACTTCCTCGTCGGGCTGGAAATTCAATAAAATGAAAACAGAAATAACTTTGCCAACAAACAGAAAACTTTTACAAAAAATAAAAACATTATCCACATTCTGAATCATAGTGGATAATTTTGATGCTCATTAAATGAAATATTATTTGCGATTTGGTGAATTTGAAATAAACTCTAGTGGTTCTTATTATGCTAATAGAATACATTTTTCAGCGAACACATTTTTTATTACTCTATTTGCTTTGGTTTATTGGAATTAGAAAACTATCTGGTCGAAGTTAAAAATACGAAATGACGTCGTCAAAAATATATAAGTATTTATATAATATCTGTGTTAAGTGTTCAATTTAGACGACGTTTAGTCAGATCACAGGTATTACTTGTAATTTATTATTAATTTATAAGCATAGGTCGACATTTCTGGCAACAAGGATAAAATATTGTGTTTGTATCATGATATCACGACAAATCTTATAAAGCTCAGTCGGGATATTATAATTAGGTAAATTATTTAAATCTACTACCAATGTGTTTTTTTTCCATTGCCAGTTTTCTATCTATAAGCAAAACAGGTGATAGAGTAATTCAAAATATGTAGTAAGAGGAAATCGCAGGTCATAACAATTTTCAATGGCAGTAATACTCAGTAGCAAGCAAATATAACTACTTTTAAAATGCACGTACGACACACATGAACATTTGCTTGGATTCCTAGAATTTGTGTTGTGTGGCCATCTGTACTCTCTATCGAACCGTACTTGCGTGCAAAGACCTTTCCATTGCATAACATAATAATATTCCTATTGTCTGTGGCTAGCGAGCGCATCCTTACCCAGTTACTCTTACTCACTTTTGCTATTGCTTTATTGTTTATTACTTGTATATCGTGATTACATTTATGTGCAAATATAAAATTTTAAGGGAGCCTGGCGATATAATACAGGTTTAGTTAACTATTACGGAATCCACGTAGTTAACTGTCATTTATTTGATGTCAGGTTTATATATATAATAGCCTTCTTTTCTGAGAGTGAATCACAATATTATTACACCTAAATGAAATACAGTAGAAAAATGCGAGACCTCCATGATACAATATTGTAGTGTTCAAAGAACTAAGTTTCCAACGAATCAATTTCTGCAAATAATATTGATAAAGTCGTAAAATGGTACAGGATCAAAAGCACATCATGCACTTAAGATTATAATTTATTCCCCTTGCCACTTACTAAGAATGGCCAAAACTTCAAATGACAAGTTTCATGTGGTCTTGACAGTGCCACTGAAATCCGAAACACTATTGAGTTTTCGGATGACGACGTCTGTGGCGGACAATTACACAATTTACCCGGTTCCAAATGTAAGGTATTTCCTGCATTTTGAGCGACAGAGCAGATGAAACTGCTTCCAGGGTGTTATTATTCAGAACACCCAAAAAAAAGCAAATACAGAAAAATGCGTTTTCTAAAATGCTGCTATCGGGAATCGAACATGGTGCCTCCTAATTTAGCACCCACAGTGCCAAATGCTGAACCACAGAGGTCGTCATGTTGAGAATGTTGTTATAAAACACACCTGATACCCATGTATTCTAAACTAGGTGCGTTATGTACTATAATAGGTACATAAAACAGTATATCGGTCAAGCATAAGTTTTTTACTCATTAAGACATTGATATTTAATAACCAAAACTGCTGGTGTTCATAACGAAACATTCAAATCTGACTTCTTGATTCTAATAATAAAATCTTTAGATGAATAACCTACTATGAGAAAACTATAATATACGTTTAAACAACGATCTATACGAGTGCAAATAAAGTTTTCCGACATGGAATTATGCTAAGGTAAAACGGCACAGGTGAAGGAAATTTTATACCAACAACATTTAACGGCTTTTATTCGAAATTGTAGAAAAAACGAATATATGTTACATAAATGATTATCACTAGTATCAGGTTTCTTACCACCTGAAAAATATAAGAAACCTGTTACTAGTGATAATCATTTAGTGAATAACCACGAGTCTTAAAATAAGATGTTACATAAAATAACGAACTGCTAACTGATCTGTAAATGTTTCTTCAATCGATACTTTAACAGATATTAGCGAATCTTTTATTTTATAGCAATTACAATAACTAAACACGTCGAACTCAAATCACCCATCGTGAAAACAAGATAGACAACACAAACATCACGTTCGCAATTACTCTAACAAAGTGGAAAAAAGAAAGTTGCTTCCATCGGCCTATGCTTCAAATTATCCTATAATTTTCGGAACTACATATGTAACGAGTTTTGTCGTACATTTAAGTAGGTATGTAGTAAGTGTCTTGCAGCCATTGGTCTATAAACATCAACATTTCGTTTATTAAGACCGTAGGAAAACTAAGTAGCAAAAATCTTCACATTTTGGTCGTATCGAAAGCTGGCGTGTTTGCACAAAATAGATGTCTAAGTTCGTCCTGTACTGTAAATAATTACTTTAAAGAACTTTAAAGTGTAAACTATTTCATCTAATTTTCGATGAAAATTTATATTCATCTATATATGGCAAATAATCCAATGTGGCGCGATAAACCGAAGTCCATTAATTATTTAGCTAAAAAAATGTAATAGGTCATACATAATATGAAGTAAATCTTTGAAATATTATACATAATTTTATTTTAGTTCGATCAATGCTTTGTTTTACTTGACTTCAATGGCATTTGATTGTTAACTCATTACGTTTCCTACTCCTACAGAGGTATTATTACTCACAGCTTTGTCAAACACAGTCTCCTCTAAGCACTACGTGGACCCAATACAGTCGGATCAATCTAGAACATCTAAAAAACCGTAACGGCGAGCGAATGCTGGTCACACGCCCAATGGGGCAATAATTAACATTATCTGTCACACGTAGAACTTGTGTAAAGCAGTGCAGTGTGACGTAATCGTGTATCCCATTTCTGATCGGCCTTGACAGAGTTGCGCAAGATTACATTTCTTTTTGCTTCTTTAAAGGAAGTACCGTTATTGAACGGTTTTTGTGTTTTGATAGTGGGATAGTAAACTAAAAAGTAGTTGTAATAGTATTCCGTATTAATGGCCTATTGCCGTGTTTTGTATGTTCACCAAGAGATGATGCCACCTCGGATGTGAGGCTCATGAAAAATAATGTTTTCCCAACTTGTATTGGTCTTCAAATGGCCTAAAATCTCAACTACCCTTGGCATCGTAGCGTATCTTAACCCCTTAGTTGAACACATAATGCCCGGATAAAGTCAATTAGATGTTATGCCATTAACGATTTTTTAGACGCTCAAGGTTACGCTGACCTACTACGAACGTTATTTTATTTTGTTTTTTCGTGCTTGTGTTATGAGTCTTGATTTACTTTTTGTTAAAAAGATTTGAAGTTCATTATCACTTTGTAACTTTTTTTATATCACTTGCTTGAACGTTTTATGCTCATTTAAGAAACGCTAGCTATAAGAAACGTATAAGGAATGATATGTTATGATATGTTTGTTCTATTTCTATGAGAAGTCGACGTGTACTTATTTAAAACCGACATATAGGTATTTTAATAAAAGTTTCATTTGTGTATATTAAAAAAATATATGAAGTTCAGTTTAATAATAGCAATTACTGTTGCCCTCCAACAAAGTATTAGCTACAATATAAATCTAAATTACTCACTTGTGATGTCCACCGGGCACGGGCGCAGGCGACGCGACCACCACGGCTATGAGAACAGCGATGAGCTAGATGAAATAAAGACAGTTAAAGAATTTTTGATATTTATAACAAATAATTAAGTCCAGGAGATAAAATGAAATAGGGCGAAAATAATCAATTTCAACTTCAAAATACTGTTTATCTTTATGCACTCGAATTATGGAGTGACATGTTACCCCGATTATCCTAATAGTACGTAAACAATATAACTGACAAAATAAGACGATGTAAACAGATAGAACAATTTGTAAATGGTTTAGAAAATCGCAAAGCAAAATTGGGCTATTAAAAAAAATTAAGAGATAAAAAATAAGAAGTGTGTTTCAATTTTTAAAAAGTAAGTTAACTTTAAAATTGAGACGTTTAGAAGTGAAACTTCCGATAAATGTCTTCTAATTTAGTATATCTAGATTTCGCATATATTTATAACACAACACATTGCACCAAAATAACACTTTCCGAACTAAAAAAATATAATAATTAATAAAATACACTAACAGCGAGTTTCGCGTACATGTTATTTGTTTTGCTGGACTGATCTACAAAACAGTTAGGTTGACTGAGTGCTTTTCTGCCATCTCTGTTCACTGTACAGCTTTATATACTTTGTTCGGAACCCAGGATTGCATAATAGAGCCCCTTGGTCCATCCCTACCTTCCCAGATAACCAGACTAAATTAGAAAGCAATCTGAGACTTATTGAATTGTACGGGCGGTCAGACGATCCGTATTTCGCTGCACAGTCAAAGTGGGATTGTCCAGTGAGTGGTAGCGTCTGACGTTTTTCTTTTTAAGTATAGCAAACGACTTACTGCAAACCAGCGAGGTTTTTTTTTCAAAAACTTTACAAGGTGATTATTATTTTTAATTATTTATACATGGTAATTATTTGAATTTTACTGTAACTTTTGGCTTGGACTCAAGATTATATTAGTTTTAGTGTGCGTTTTTGAAATTTGTACTGCAAGGATATTTTAGGACTAATTTTGGTAAAGATTTATTTTTAATAGTTAACTAATGGTCATGTTTTATTAAAGTAAGTAAAATTACGTTTCTGAATTACACTGATTCCTTCATGTATAGAATTCTTCGCTTCTTTTCCATTTTTAATAGTGGTGTAAAATGTATTTCATAGCTAATTGTCTGCAAACAACTATATCTATGTGCGGTCTGTAAACTGTTAAGTACAACTGTCACATAATCTCAGTACAGAGTACTAAAAAACCGACCTCAAAAGTTCGTGGAATTACATCTATGAGTATTTGCCAAGTTTTATTGAAATCGGTTACCGTAAAGTGCATGAAACTGGATTCATCCCCTACTTTACCACGCTTAGAGGTGGAATATTTTCTTCAAATCTAAATGGGACCACTATTGAGGTACCCTCTTTCCAACAAAGGAATAATCATTACAATCGGAGTTATCGCGTAACATATATACAAAAAACACATGCTGTCGAATTGAGAACCTCCTCCATTTTTGAAGTCGGTTAAAAATATGTCGCAAGGCATATACGAGTACTACGTAAGTGTCAAGTTAATAAGTTAGAAATTGAACAATTATATGGTAGAAATTATACCTGTATCATTAATTTATATTATATGCATACATTCATACTGTATTACAGTCAATGGAAAATGTATGTTTCAAACATTGACTTACTTCAAATTATCTCTGTTCTATTTGTTTTGATTATTAATCGTGTGAAAAACCCAACCCATATTGGGCCAAAGTGACTATAGCCTGAACTTTCTCCTTAGTAGAGGTTCGTGACAGGGACCTATAATAAAGAGATGATTAATTTAATTGTATTGTGAAGAAAAACATCTCTAATAATTACTATTTCTTAATATTCTGTTTGGTCAGGTTTCGAATCAATAATCCTTGTAATAGAACACACACTTGCATAATTTAAATAAATCACGAAGCGAGCCCGCGAGGTACGCACGCAAACTTCCTTATCATTCGGTCATATGACTAAGATTTAGCATTATGCCATATTTCCTAACACGCTTCAGCGAATTGCAGGATAGAACATAATGAGGTCATAGCCCCGTCTTCGAGAGAATGCCAGTCTTGCAATCAGAAACTAGCAGTGCCTGTGTACCTACCGTTGAGCCTTTTCGAATCGACATCATCATGATTTAAAATATTTTGAACAGTTTGAGACAGGATGCAACTAGCTACAATATCACCTAAATGTGAGCCAGCGTGTTTCCAGTTTTTTAAGATGATTCTTCAAAAACAGAGTGACTCGATTCATCTAGGTGTATTTTCATAAGCACTAAACATATATATAATTTTTACACCTGTTAGGAACTAGATAATTTAAGATACATCATGTTCAAATTATCAAATAATAATATTTAAATTTAAAGCTTTTTAGCCTAAAAAGTCAGTTGGATTATGTCCAAATTTTTAAAACTTCGATTCTACATACTTAATTTTTAATTCCTGACACTGTACAAAGTTCTAAAAATAAATTAGTTGAAGTACTAAATAATATTAAATTATTTTCAATTTGTAATGTGATAGTAGGTAGGTGTGTGTAATGTAATCACACACGAAACTCAGAATTCTCTGGATTTAATTGAGCTCGGAAAGCAGTACGCCACGCAAGCAAGTCATTTCATTCTTTAGCCAAACACGCGCCAATGTTTTGATATTTGATTGTAACAGCCAAAATTGAGGCTCTTGGTAAGTAGTTTTTTAATTATTGCTTATAGTTATCGGCAATGCCACTTTTACTTTATTTAGTGGCTATAATAAGTATATACAAACTTTTATTTTCATTAAAAAAGATTTTTAAATTTTACATTGCTTACATCAGTAAGTACTTTAAAAGAGTAACAATGGACATATCAAGAAACTGGTAGGTTTGAACTGCCACGTTATCTCAATTTGAATTAGTGATTTCACACGGCTTGGAAGAGTTTCTTGGATTTTTAGTCATGGTCAATTGGCGCCAAGAAAAACAAAAAGTAAAATTTCCAAAAGAAGTGAATCGATGCAAAACTAGATTGAAAATATAAATAAAACTCTCTATGCTTTATTTCGAAAGTAAAATCGATCTATCATCTAATAGTCCGTCACATACATTGACCTACAGTCACGTATAAGAGAATACTAAATATTTCAAAAACCCACTTTTATTAGCATTTTCACTTTCATTAAATATGGAACAATAAATTGAAAATTCACTATTGAAAAAATAAAAACTTCGCATCTTACAATTTGTAAATCTCAAAACGAACAACAAGACTAATTTCATTTAAATAATGTAATGTTCATATAAATACTGTTGATTATTATTATTTTTTTTATTATATATAGGGATATATCCCTTGACACTCAAATAAAAAATATGAGGACTACATCATTATCATCTAATCTAAAGAGAGTCCCGTTATCATCGCAAATTTTAATGAGTCACTCGTAATTCTCTTTAAGCCCTCAAATTCAGAGCAAATTTCAGCAGACGATATTCTTTCTTTTTCTGAGGAATTTTGCCCTTGTTTGATTTTGTCTCGAACCACGCTTCTGGTGATTTGTTAGTGCCTTATTGAATTAGAGCCTGACAGATATACATCTGCCGTAGCAGTGTTGACTGGGTTGGCACCACGGTCTTCCCATCCAAGACATTTTAAAAGAGTAGAATTAAAATTACCATTCTATCAAGTCAAAATATTTTCAATTTAGCTAATTTTTGAACCGCTTTTATGTATATATTCTCTTTTAGATTGCCGTATTTGTTATAATTTCAATAAACCTAAAACTGAAAGGTCACAAAAAGACAAGACTGTTTTTCATTTCATCGTTTTTTGTACGTGTATTCGTAGTACTACGTGTACTCATAGCCTATGAGTCTTTTTTACTTTACTGAAACTAACTATAAGTTCTTTTCCTTTCAGAAACGTAAAAAGTGTAATAAGATTGAAGAAAAAGGTAATTTAGAGTAGGAAATAAAAGTGTTTGTTTTTTCAAACAATCCTTTATTTGAAAAAACAAACATGTTGGCTTCGTTTGTATGTGTAACAATCATGAAAACCTAAGAACTCGATAATATATCCATAAAGAATTCTTATACTTAGCGTAACTGCTTACGAAATAAAACTCCAAATTAGTCAAGTTTATTTATATTTTAAACAGATTATGAAATGTAGTTACATAACAACATTGAAATACTTCCTTCATAATGTACACGTATGAATTCTTCTGTCATAGTGAACCCTTTGTTCCGATTTCTTCATATCTAGTACACTTAGGTATGTTTCATTTCTTCGTATAATTTCATGCTCTCGTAACGATTTCGGCGAGGCATACTCTTAAGAAGGTAATACACAAACGCCACTATTGTAATTGAACAAAGTTCTATTTACGACTAGGATTTTTACCACTTTATTATCGATCATTGCGTACATTACTCATTGTCGATTTAAATAATCTGTTTGTTTAGAAAAATCTTTCATATTTATGATATCCATGTCTATTAGTGAAATGTTTGAAATTGTAGGGTATACTGTAGTTCGAAACCTCTATCGTACTTGTTCTTGTGTGAAAACTATTGTAATAAACTTTAATTTGTAACAATATTTTCGTAAATAACTTCACTACTTCACTTATTTGTTTTAAAGGAATAAACTAAATTAATCAGTGAAGCCGAATGAATGTGTTTCACTCTTTTGCAACTTTATTTAATTTTAAATAATTAATTTTCACCTGTCCTTGTAATAACTATAACGACCGTACGCTTGCTTTGCGAATATATGTATGTGCATATAATGCAATATTATGCAAATGCGAATATTTTCATGTATGCATGTTTGGAAATACATAAAATCAATTGGCCTCTATGTACGTGTTGTACCTGTCTGCAAGCAACCTTTCAAACCGACCGGGCTCTGTGGCTGAGATTATAAAAGAACCTTAAAAAGTATTATAAGTATGTAGTACATGAATATTAAATATGGCTATTTACTTATATACCCAAACGGAATTTACGAAACCTAAGTTGCAGTCTCAGAAAGTTGCATCATCACTGTGGGAATCTGCAAAGGAGCACGTAGTCATCAATCTTTTAGTTTAGTCAACATTTGATCTCTGGTGAACGCGAGGAACGACGAGTGGCGTAATACGGATTCCACAAAAGTACTGTACCAGTTTAGTCAACTGGGCCGTTATGAACTTTGACTGTTAGCAGCAATTAGCTTCATTACTTTGGTGCCCCACTGTTGGTCTTCTTAGTTCGCCAAAAAGTCGGAACGTTGCAATTGTTTAAGATTATTGATGTAGATTTTCTATTCTTTGAGATCTTTTGTAGGAGCTGCTGATTCGAAGGTCTCAGACAAAGTTGATGCCTATTTTTAGCCCCAATAAGTATTGATTCTCAATTTGTCTATCGTTCTGTATTTTGTAATGGTTTACCAAGTTTACAAACCGACAAACGGAAACCACACCGCGTGGTTATAATGGAATTAATTTATATTCGGACATCATAGCTCTATTTAGAGTGAATCTTATTTTTATTATCGCTCTCATAAATATCAAGTATTTATGAGAGCGATTCTAC